GCTAAGCATACAATATGCCAAAAAATAAGGATAATTAACATTTGCCTTTGTTAAATATGTTTTTATTTGGTAATTTAACATGTTCTTTTGAGTACCTGTTGTATATTATGTGTACAAATAGATAAATCTTATTTTGGATAAAGACTTATTAGAGAATGTGTTTTTGTCCTCACTTTTGAAGTGAGCTGACTTTGTATCATGTATTACTATTAGAAAATAAACTAAGAAAAATCTAAATCCTTAGTTTCAAAGAAATGAAATTTCTCTACTTCTGAATGCTGTTCCATTCTCCATCCTTTCTGTTACTGCTTTTCACTGATTCTATAATATAGGACAGGTTTGTAGACTGGGGATGGGAATAAGAGCTTAAATAAAAGTTTAGGAACTTAAAGGAGAATACACTTTCCTCCACAGATTGGACTGTATAATTTTAAAATAAGAACCCTTATGCATAGTAGGATAACTGAGCTAATATTAGTCTTTTATCTGTACTTCATATATGTATAATTACTGGCAAGTATATTATGTTTCATGTTACTTTGAAAAAGAAAGATTTTTTTTTTGGTCTAATTTAACTTTGTATCGATCATCTTTCTACCCCATTCTGAAAAATTCTCTTACTCCATTTTTTGAGTTAAATAAAACACAGGGAAGAGGTGAACTGAAAAACAGATACATTTTTGTAGCAGAATATGCAAATAACCAATTGAAATCAGATGTCTATTCCTATACTGAAGAGTCTGGGAAAACAGTAAATGTTTATTTGTGTACACATTTTGTATTCTGTATCCTTTGCTCCCTTTTTCCATCATTCCCTCCTCTTCTCTTTTTTCCCTCTCTCCATCCTTTTGTCTCCCAATTCTTTTCTCTCGCTGTTCTCTCCCCTTCGTCCTCTTCCCTTCTGGAAATACAGAGATTTGTAAATGCTGGAATGAATGAACTACTTCTTTCTAGATTGTTCAAGTCTGGGTTGGGATAACTGCTATAGGCTCTTGAAATGTATATGTATGATAATGCATCATTCTCTAGGCTTGAGAATTTAGAGATAAGCAGAATTAAGCAGTACTAGATCAGCCTGGACAATGAACAAAAACCTTCTGAAGCCTCTTTTTCATTGTTAATATGCCTGTGCTGAATTTAACAAGGCATCTTATTAGGATATTTTTCATAAATTGGGACAGTTGTGTCACGGAATTCTGCATAGTCTCAGGGTTTTGTTTTTAGCTTAGACATTATATATTCAGATTGTTTGCTTATTAACACATTTATAAAATACTTAAAGTATTTAATAATACACGAATAACTACTTACTTAACACCCAGGAATATAAATGATGCCAGGTTTGATTTTGTTTTGGAAACTTAATCCTTTCCTCCAAGTCCTAATACCCTCTCTTTTTACCCATATAAGAGGTTTCTTGAGGTTCTTGAATATCTCCTGTTTTGTACTTAAATATGACCTTTGCTCACTGGTATCATGCTTAAGAATTTATAGATATGTCTCATACATACATACCATCAGTTTATGTGGTCTTTTTTTTTTTATTTTATGTGTTTTCTCTGTTACGTTTTTGAGATGTGTATGTTAACACATTTAGATCTTTGTGGTATTATGGTATATGGATAACTAAATCGTATTGTATCCCACTGCTTATGAATATTTTGGATGGCTTCCTATATTGATCTTATGAGTAATGCTACAGAGATCATTTTTATACTTCTTTCTTAAAAGGTTTTCTTTAAAGAAAATTAAAGAAATGAAGTTATTAGAGAATAGGATATCTTTAACTTGATTAGATGTGGCAAATTTTATGTATATTAGATTTGCCAACACATACTATATCAGCAGTGAATGAACATTTTTGTTTCTAGCATCTTTTACTAGTACTTGGAGTAGTTAGATTTTAAATAATGATATCAAATGGCATCTTATTTTGTGTTTGCTTTAACTCTGAGTGGTTGGTAAAATGATAGGAGTTTTATGATTTATTTTCTACATGTTTCAATTTAACAAATTTAATTAATTTTTTTAAAGTACTGGTGTTTGAAATTGAGGGCCTGCTGTATGCTAAGCAGTTTTCTCTGTGTTTTATAATTTATAGAAAAAAATGTAGAAAAAAAGAAATTGTACAAGGTTTGTGTTGACAAGGACCTTGAAAACCATCTTTACAAATTTTTATTTTTTTATGGCTGATTATCTGTTCAGTCATCAGTATATGGGCTTTGGTATGCTTTCAATTTGGGTATTTTGTGCATGTGTGTGTGTGTGTGTGTGTGTCTGTGTGTCTGTGTATTTGTTCAGCTTTTGTTGTGAATATACGGCATTCTCTTGATTATATGTATAGGTGTGTGAGTTGGTTGGGACATATGGTAACTGTTTAAAACTAAAGGCATTTTTCAACTTTTCTCAAAGTGGCTATATATGTATATTTCTTTGAAATAATTTTACTAGTAATGTGTGAAGGTTCTGATCTTTCTCATATTTTTTTTTTATGTGAGAGAGATATGATCAAATTCTAATTTCTAGGAGGATAGTTCTGTCAAATATATATAAGAAGGAAACTAGGTAAAATAACTAAGCTCTGTACCACAACAATCTTAGTAACCATGTCAGGAAAAGAAGAAATGAATTCTTTCCTTAAAGATGAAATATTACAAAAAAAGAATTTTAAAGCTAATATTTCCAGGCCTGACTTTGAGCTAGAATGGTTTGTAAGGAAAGGGACATGGATAGTCTTTTGAAACAATTTGAAGTTTCTTTGCCTTGCATTTACATAACCACTCAAGTTTTTTTCTTTTATGAGCTGCTTTACTCTATAAACCTCTTAAAACATTTAGTATAAAAATTAATGACATATTTTCTTAATGTTTTGTCTAGTCTGAACGAAAGGGTATACTAGCAAGGTTTGGTTACACATAATTTTACATGTTGTGATGGAGAGATTTTAAGATTTATTTAGTGGCAGAAAAAGGCCACTAAAGAATTATTAGGGATAGTGTTGGATTTGTGGGGAGATTCCTCAGGTAGAATTAGTTAGCAGTGAGTCAGCAATATTATACTTGGTAGGAGAGAGTCTACAATATTAATAGAACTTTTCTGATTTGAGTCATTGGAATGAGAATCCTACTATTATGCCACAGGATTTATTAGTATGTGATAAATCTTATCTTTGTGGAGACCATGGTGTTTTTAGCTACCAAAATTTTTTTTGTTTTTTGTTTTTGTTTTTTACACTCAAAATCAAATTGATGTCTGTTGAATGAAGAATTTGAAGACTTGCAAATAGTGGTTAGGTTAAATGGAAATAGGGGAAGAAGAAGAATTTTCTTTCTGTTAGGACAATGAGATTGCTGACATACAAATATATAGAATAGAATGTTTTGGGTGTGTGTATGTGAGTGTGTGAGGATAATTGATATTTAAAAAGATTTTTAAAAATTACTTTAGATGCTGAGATATTCAAATAGTGTTATTATACCTTTGATAATTTGGAGCTGGAAGTTATAATGCCAAAGATAGGGTCTTAAAAGTAGGTGTGTTTGTGATATAAAGTACAGAGGTAAAATGGAATGTATGCATCACTTGAAGTGTGTTCAAAATACAAATTCATGTACTTCAATTGACCTCAATCAGAATTACTACAGAGAAGCCTGTATCTGTCTATCTGACTGTCTGACTGTCTGTCTTCTGTCTTGTCTTCTCTCTCTCTCTCTCTCTCTCTCTCTCTCTCTCTCTCTCTCTCTCTTTCTTTCTTTCTTAAGACAGGTTCTCATATTGTTTAGGCTATTCTAGAATTTAATACATAGCCAAGTCTGTCTTTGAATTTCTGGTCCTCTTGCTTCTACCTCCTCAGTACTGACATTATGGTTGTACTTCACCATACTTGCATAGTGGGTATAATGGATTTCCTCAAGTGATTTTGTAGAGTTAAAACTCAGTTCTCTAAACTCACAGTGTTTATTGGTTTTATTTAAAATAGTTAATGCAAGGCTGGGTGTGGTTGTACACACCTTGAATCCCAGCATTTAGGAGACAGAATCAGGCAATTCCTATGAATTAAAGCCTGGCCTAGACTACATAGCAAGTTTCTGACTAGCTAAGTTTATGTAGTGAGATCATCTCAAGTCAGTCCATCTATCAATTTATTAATCTGTTTGTCTGTCTGTCCATCCATCGATTCATGCATCCTTCATTTATCCATCCATTTGCCTATCCTTCCTTCTTACCCAACCACTTACCCACCTACTTACCTATAAATAATAGGCAGATATGTTTATGTTGTAGTTACTTAATCCATGGGATTAGGTTTTCTCATTATGACAAAATAAGATTAAAAGACATTAAAGGCTGAAAAATACTCAGACAAATTATAAATGAACTATGAACCCAGGTTTAAAACCATGGGAGAGCTTGTTTTTAAGATTTGTAGTAAGTTTGTTGTTATTGTTTATTTGTAAAGAGTTGTGATAGACATGGAATGATTTAATTGAGTAATGGGGCCCTGTTATGTGTCAGGAAAGTATATTTTTTTTAGTACATTTTCTCTAATTCAACAACTTAACACACCGGAGAGACTGAAAGGTCAAAGGTCTTAGCCATGGTTACAACTCCAGAAGGTTTTATACAGAAGTTTTGCATATAGAGATTAACTGATAGCGTAATTACTAAAGGGATTTAAGATATGTGAACAATTTTAATATATTTTCAGCTCATTTGTAAGGAGGCTAAGGGATTGAGGAGCGTAACTCTTTGTACGTGAACATGGAAAACATGACTTTTCTAGTTGGAAAATATTCATATCACAGCCTACATAGCTACCCTGTTACTTCTCTTGGCAATAGGAGTAGGGCAATTTAATTTGTCTTTCAATATATTTTTGGATATAAGCATTATTGAAGATAAATTTGCTTTTATTTTATAATTAAGTTCAGTAATTTTTTTCTGAAGGACTATTCAGTTGTTTATGTTAAAAGAATTGAGTGAGGTGTTTTATGTTTTAGGTTAAAAATCTATAAGAGCCTGATTTTAGAGTTCACCAGCTCCTCAGAAGTTTGCCGAAATATGGTATGTTTCTGTTTTATTTTTTGAAATTCATATTGCATGAATTATTTTAGTATCATGGCTAGCATAATGACAAATGCGTTCAATAAATTTGGGCGCCTGTCATTTTTAAAGGATCATACTAGGTGCTGAGTATGCTACCAGGTAGACTGTGAGGGATATAAGTGGGGAGCTGGAAGAATTTCTGAGAGTTTACTGTATTATGAGACAAAGTAATATGAACAAGAAGATCAAAGAAATAGACTTGGCTGTTAGGATGTGAGTATAAAAAAAGTCTCTTTTATTTGCCAGCATATTATATACAAGGCACTCTTATGATAATGCAGATTAAGGTTTTAATTCTACTTTAAGGTAATTGAGATTTAGAGAGGTTATGTAACTTGTCCAAGATTTCCCAGATAGTAAGTGATCAAGCAGAGAGTGGAATCTTAGAATGTCTTTGGAAACTGTTCAGCTGAACACTGAACCAATAAAGAAGAGGCTAGCAGAGAGTACTTCACTTAGTAATCCTAAGTGTTTCTTTAATGAATTAGTTGAGCTTATTTAAACTGTGTTTTTTTTTTTGTTTGTAAATTAGAAGTTAGATTCATTTCAATATTTATGTAATTCCACATAAGCTATTATTTTAATTAGAAACTAAGGGATCTATTTCATGGACCACATTGTTTCAAGGATGTTTCTTTTCTCCCTTGCTATTTCAGTGATGCCTAGGTTCTTAGTAGGAGAAGATATATAGTTATGATAGGAAAATCTGGGAAACTGAGTTATTTCTAAACAGGAATTATAAATCCTATTTATTGGTATCCCCTAAGTTTGTGTGTGTGTGTACACACAAGCGCGCGTACACACACACACACACACACTCGGGCCAGTTCTAGCAATAATATAGGCTCAAATATTGATGTTTTAATAATTCCTTTAAGATTCTCATATACCTTCCTATTTTACGTTAGGTTCTGATTTCATGCTTTCAGCCATCTTGTTTGTCTGTGCTGTCAGTTTGAGGGTGTTAATTATGAAGGGACTTTCCTCTTCCTAATCTTAGGCTACTACTACTACTACTATTACTTTTTCTTTTTCCTCCTCCTCCTCCTCCTCCTCTTCCTCTTACTCCTTTTCCTCCTCCTCCTCCTCCTCCTCCTTCTCCTCCTCCTCCTCCTCTTCCTCCTCCTCTTCTTCTTCTTCTTCCTCCTCCTCCTCTTTCTTCTCCTCCCTCTTCTCCTCCTCCTCCTCCTCCTTCTTCTCCTTTTTTGTTTTAAGCTCATTCAAATTTGTTCTATGTGTATAGATCATGGAAGAGAATTGGGAAAAACTCATAACAGTATTGGCATTTTGTCAGGATTACAGTGTGATGAAGGGGGCTGTGAAACAAATCAGATTTGTTTAAAATCATATAAGATATGTGAATAATAGGATATACATTTATATTTTGCAGTATTATTTCCTAGAATTGAGTCTGAATGGGATTGAGAATGAATGTTTTCTTATACATCCAAAGGTCTAAAAGTTAGTGTTAGATTATACTACTTAAATATTGTCTCTTTCTCTCTGTTTCTCTCTGTTTCTCTCTGTTTCTCTCTGTTTCTCTCTCTCTCTCTCTCTCTCTCTCTCTCTCTCTCTCTCTCTCTCTCTCTGTGTGTGTGTGTGTGTGTGTGTGTGTGTAACTTTCATCAAGATTTTGCCTGTTTGGCAGATGATTTCTCCCATCAGTTAAAAACTCTTGATACTAAATCAGCCTCATTCTAATTATTACCACAGTCTATAGTCTAAATTTTTGCCCATTTGTATATATTCATAAGACACTGTAAAGCAAATCTAAACTATAGCAGAATTCTATGCTTAGTAGGAAGCTAGCTGATCTGGGTTTTTTGTGCTTAATTACAACATTATTTGCAAAATCTTGGGCAAGTCAGCTAATCACTTTGAGGCTGTTTATTGTTATTCTTAGTGTCTATTTTGATCATGTAGAGCTAAAAAAGTCAGTAGAACATAAGGGTGCTGTTGACTGTTGTATTTTGTGAACCATACAATAATACATTGAAAAGCAGGGATTATTATCTTTATCAGAAATGCCTGGGACCAGATTATGTTTCAGATTTAAGAATTTTTTCAGATTTTGGCATTTCCTATAGATTTTACTGGTCAAACATATCTAATCTGAAAATTCAAAATCAGAAATACTCCTAAATCTAACCCTTTTTGAGTTGCTGCTATGATGATTTAAAGCTTTCTGGATTTTGAGTAGTTTTAACTTCTGGATAGAGAATATACCCCATTTTCTCAAATGAGATCATTAAAAAAAAAAATACCAATATACTGGAAAATAGTTCATAAATGTTTTCCTGTGATAATCTTTTTCTAAAAAATTTTATGTTGATTACTGATTTAAATCTTTGAAGATTATGATTTGAACAATGAATTGGGTTTATGCTAGTGTTCTAACTACAGGTTTGTTTAATTTATTAGAATTATTAAGCCTACGTTCAGAACAAGTTAGCAGCTAGACTGATGTGACAACCTGTTTTTAATCAGTGATTCAAAGCTGTTATCACCCTGATGTCACCGAATGGCCACAGCTTGTAAAAGGTAATTTTGAATGTTATTTTACAGTCTTTTAAAAGGCTGTCACTGTAAAATGAATTATGTGCTATGAAAATGACAAAAATGCATAGGTAGCAGGAATATTGTTAAGAGTAGAGGACCTAAGAACAGAGACATTTCTTCGTGTAACCCCTTTCTCAGATATTTATTATAGTGCCTTTCTTACTTGCCCTTCCACTCGTGAAGAGAAGTAATCATCAAAGACTTGTTGTTCTATATAGGTACATAAGAAAATATTCCTTAAGAAGTTTGAAGATTGGAGTATGGACATTTTAAGAGATATATGGAAAAAATATCTTTTTTTTTTTTTTTTTTTTTTTTTAGACACGGTTTCTCTGTGTAGCCCTGGCTGTCCTGGAACTCACTCTGTAGACCAGGCTGGCCTCAAACTCAGAAATTCGCCTGCCTCTGCCTCCCAAGTGCTGGGATTAAAGGCGTGCGCCACCACCGCCCGGCTATATGGAAAATAAGTAGTATTTTTAATATTTTATGTGACAGAAGTTTAAATGTTTCTCTAGAAATGTTGCACCTTTACTGAAACTAGTTTACTCATTCTCCTAGAGAGTTACAATGGAGTTAAAAGTGCAGCCTTACCTCCTTAAAAGGATGGATTTGCTAGCTCTTGTTTCAGTGTTCAGATTAGTTGGTGTTTTGTGATTACATTTTCTGTGTTTACAGTTAATACCTAAAGTTGATACTTTTAAGACTTTTTCCTCACCAATGTTACTAGGTATGTTTCAGTTTTCAAATTTTGTTTGTTCATTTAATAATATTCTGGCAAACTTTAGGATAACTTGGGTCAGTCTTGCATTGGTAGTGGCTTTATATTTTATTAACTTTTGGTTGGTATATTGAATTTTGTAAAATTAGGAGCATGTACTGAATTCGTATTTTAAATATATTGGCAGTAAAGAAACAGTAAGCTCTTTAATAGCTAAAGAACAGTTTTGGAACTATTAGTAGGTGTTACATATACTTTGAGGTTTGAAAGCTAACTCTAGTTTTAGGATATATTTTGGTAACCTAATTAGAATATTATTAAAATAGTCTGTGAGTAGACATTCAGATGTACGCTATGGTCAAAAAAAGTGTCTGTTGTATTTATATATTTTTCTCTTGACTAAAATAAAACTGTGTTTGATTGGAAGCAGCCTCTGCTATACTGTGTCTAAAAGACCAAGAAGAGAGTAATTTAAGAGTAATAATTTTTGTATTATTTTTATTCTGATCTTCCTGGAGTTTCTTAAATTTGTAGTTTGGCTAAATGGTGTTTAATAACTCATTCTAATATATGTAAATATTAAATAGAAATCTAGTATATTTACAATACTTGATTGGCATTATAATACTGGCATTCACATACTCTTTGTAGCAATCAGAAAATGGGAAAATAGCTGTAGTTGGCCATTTAACAATATGTTTGTTCTATAAGTCATTTTAGAGTCTTGAAACTGCAGTTCTATAATATTCTTTTGAGATATGGTTCTGTTGTTTTTCTCTTATCTTACATTTTCTTGTATAATTTTTTTCCTGTCTTATCATTTTTAACCTCCTCTAAGTTTTTTTCTTCCCTGTTCATTTAGAACATTTTGCTTCCTACCTGTTTAGAAGCTTCTAATTTGGCTTCCTCATTGCTAACAGATTTTTGTTGTTTTGCAAGACAGTTTTATCTCATAGTCTAATAATATATCAGATGTTGGAAAGACACATTCCAAAATGAGTTAGCTAGTGTATGGAGTGCCATCATGTTTTAGCTCTTCTAGACATTTTATATGAGATATAAGTTTGGAAACAATCTTGGAGTGGTTTCTCTCTCTTTCTTTCTTTCTTTCTTTCTTTCTTTCTTTCTTTCTTTCTTTCTTTCTTTCTTTCTTTCTTTCTTTCTTTCTTTCTTTCTTTTTGTTTTTTTGAGACAGGGTTTCTCTGTGTAGTCCTGGCTGTCCTGGACCTCACTCTGTAGACCAGGCTGGCCTCGAACTTGGAAATCTGCCTGCTTCTGCCTCCCAAGAGCTGGGATTAAAGGCGTGTGCCACCACTGCCCAGCTTTGGAGTGGTTTCTTAAGGCTGGTGGAGACCATTATTTCTGAGATATTTGCCTGTTCCTTGGGGAAAGAGGATGGAGAAATTTGAATTTGTTATCACTGCCAATCTACAGTTTTCAGTTCTTATGTAATTTTCTGATAAACAGAAAATATAAATAAACTTCTAAGAAAATCTAAACTATCTGAGCTGTTTGTGTCTGTTTCCTTTCCTTTTTTCCTTTTCCTCTGTGTGTATTACTGACTTGGAATCTAAATGAATTGCAATGAATGTTATTTTGAAAGTCTAGCAAAGAAGTGAAATTTATTTGACACTAAAGAAATGAATACATTAATTTTTAAGATTCTTTATTGTTTTTAAATTTTATGTGTATAAGTGTTTTGTGTGCAGGTATGTACATGTGTACCTGATGCTCACAGAGGCCAGAAGAGGGCATCATATCTGAAACTGGATGGTTGTGAGCAACTGTGTGGGTGCTGACAGGCAAACCTTGATTCCTCTGGGAGCAGCAAGTGCTCTTTAACCAGTGAGCCACTTGTTCATCCCCTAACTTAAGAATCATTGTTAAAAAAACAAAACAAAACAAAAAACAAACAAACTTCCATAACCGTGAGCCAAAATAAGAAAAATAAGAAGTTTTACAAACTTTTTGTTTAAATTGAAAGTCTGAAGTCAGTGATAAAATTACAAATCAAGTCTATAACTTGAAAGTCTAAAGTTAGTAATAAGTTCACAGATCATCTCTGTATACAAACTTGAAAATGTAAATAATCTTTTCTTTCTTAACCTATTTTGGGAATTTATAGCATTAGAAATAGGTATTAAAATTATTTGATCTTAGAACATTGACTCTCTCACAGTAAAGATATATAGGGTAACAGATTTTTTCTTTTCTTTTTGTGAGGCAGTGTCTCACTATGTAGAGCAGTTTGTCCTCAGGCTAAATCCTGGTATAGCATTCTGATGACAGGAATTATAGGAAAGTATTGCTGGAATTTGTTCTTTAACCAGATGATTAGAATAGGGAAAATTGGTTTATGTTCCACCCAATAAAAATAGGATGCCCTTTGGTGTTTTAGATGTATATATTTTCTATATTAGCTAATATATTAAAAATAAAAAAATTAGCAGCTATTAAAACTAAAACTAGCGTACAATTATCTAGCAAATATAATACCCCATATATATGCTGGCAACAGCTAGTTTTTTTTTAGGAAAATATAGTTCCCTTATTGAACCACAGGAATTATGGTTAGAATAGTACATAGCATTTAAATATCATAAAGATTTATAAACACTATTATATTTGAGTTTTAATTGTCTATTGCAGAAACTGGCAGATATTTTTCAAGGAATTTTTTTTATAATGTTTTAGGTTTTGAGGGAAATATGGTCTTTCCTGCAAGTACGTATCCTTGCTTTTTCTGTTGTATGTATAGACAGAGTTTAAATGAATACAACTTTCTCAGTATAATGTAACTTTAAAATAAAGGTGATTGTCCTACACCTTAGTGTGTTTGCTTAGGTTGCAGTTTGAGGACATGTCATTTTCAAGACTATGAAGATCACTTTGTTAATGGTGGCAACCCAACTTAATAGAAAGTAACAGTTTTGTTTTTTAATACATGTTTGACTTTGTAAATAATTATGGCTTATACTTATTTGATATCTAAGTTTAATGATTTTAATTTTATTTTCAAACAAACATTGAGGTTTCTAAAGTTTGTTGCTAAACGTGTTATTACAATCTGATCTGATTTTTTTTTCTTAGTTTTAAGTCTTTTAAAACTCCTTTTCATTAGAATTTAAGTCTTGCTTTCAAATTTATCTTCCTTACTTATATTTCTATACCTTTTTTGGAATTTACTAATATTTGTCCTTAATTACATTTTACAGATCACCAGGAGAACCCCAGTCTGAGGACATTGAAGCTAGCCGAATGTAAGTATAATTTGGTTCAGGTTATTCTGTGTCTTAAGTTGCCCTACACTGTTTTATTTAAAAATGCCTTTCGGGCTTAAAATAAAAATACGTAAAATTGCATTAAAAAAAGAGAAAGAAGGAACAACTTTAAACTATATCTAGAGATTGGAACATACCTACTTGTCGCCTTACCAAATACTTGTAAACCTCTGCAAACCATTAGATGTCTAACGGTAACTAGATGATAACATACATGATTCTGAATTCTTAAGTGTTTTTGTCCCCTTAGCAATTGTGAGTAAATAGCGAAATTAGAGGAAGATTTAACCATCTTAGTGCCTGTTATTAATTTATAACTCATAAAAGCAAGATTGCTTAAATATGACCTTTGTTTACTCTAAATATTAATCATCAGGTCCTGTGTTTTAGGTATAAAGATGCTTGAGACTAAGTTCCTTCCTTCAGAAGGAACAGAATCAGATTTTTCTAATTATTGAGATAGAATTATATTTGGGATACAATGGGAATACAGAGGAGTACCAAATTATGCAAAAGAAATCTAGTTCATAGTAGGAAAATTAGTATAACGGAGTAAAACTAGGTTGAATCCTGAAATGCTACTGGGGATTAAGCAGTTGGATGTTTGAGCAGTGTTCTAGGCCGAGTCATTGTCAAGGTTCTGAAGCAGGACACTTGAGTGCAGGGAGAAGTAGGGAATTGAGATTTTTTAAAAATTTGACAATGAGGAATGAAGAATGAGAATAAGAGTAAATAGAAGGGGACTATAGCAGTGACTTGGTGAATATAGTACTTGCCACGTAAGTATGAAGAAGACTGGAGTAGGAAGCAAGCTGGCTGCTAGG